TAGTGTATCTGTTATTGCTTGTGGTAGGCTCAAGGAGGTTTCCAGTTTGGTCCAGATCTTCTCCTCAGTAGGATGCCACCAGAAGAAGAGCTGGTCCAGTAGAGCAGCTTGGTAGTAAGATTTTAGGTGTGGGAGACTCGCTCCACCTCTAGAGGGTGGGCGTAGTAGTAGGTTCGTGGAGCATCTAGGTCTTCTATAGTTCCATAAGAATTTGTTTAGTGTGGTTTGAAGTTTGGAGAAAAAGGTGTGGGTGACTGGAATAGGAAGTGTCCGAAAGATATACAATATTTTAGGTAAAATGCACATTTTCATAGTTGCTACTCTTCCTAGAGTCGATAGAGTGGTCGTGCGTAAACTTTTTAACTCTTGAGGAATGGTTTCCAGTAATGGTTTGTAATTAGTTGCGTAGAGCTGGTTGGTAGTTGCGGTAAGTTTGATCCCTAAATAGGGTATGCTATGTGTTTCCCAGGTGAAGGGGAAGTTTTTGGATATTAAGGTTTGGGTTTCAATAGGCGTATGTAGATTTAGTATAGATGATTTGGGTTCATTAAGTTTGTAGTATGAAACATCCGCATATCTGCGTATATGTGTGCGTATAGAGTGAAGTGATTTTGTAGGGGTTTGTAATCATAAGGATAATATCGTCTGCAAAAAGACTAAGCTTGTGTTCCTGTTGGTGGAATTTAATTCCCGTGAAATTTTGGTCGTTTCTAAGATTAGATGCTAGTGGTTCAATAAGTAAGGCAAAAATTATGGGGGATAAAGGGCATCCTTGTCTAGTACCGTTTGAAATGCAAAAGGGCTGAGAGAGTGTACCATTGGTCAGTACTCTGGCAGTGGGTTTGGAGTAGAGGGATAAGATTGCCGAGAGCATCCAGTCTGTTATTTCCGAATTTTTGTAAAGTGAGGGTCATAAATTTCCAGTGAATTCGGTCAAATGCTTTTTCTGCATCTAAAGATAGGAGAATAGAGGGTTGATTATTGGTCTCAAGATGGTGTAGAAGAGATATAATTCATCTTGTAGCGTCAGGAGCTTGTCTACCGGGTATAAATCCTACTTGATCGGGATGGACTAGCGTGGGTAGATACGGGAGTAATCTTAGGGCGATATTTTGGCGTATATTTTTATGTCTGTATTTAGTAATGAGATCGGTCTGTAGTTTTGTATTAGTTGGGGATCTTTGCTCGGTTTCGGGATGGTGGTGATTATAGACTGTAGCATGTCAGGGGGGAATTCTCCATTGGTTGCAACATAGTTATATAATGCAGCTAAGTGAGAGGTAAGATTGGGTTCTAGTGATTTATAGTATTCATTGGTATAGCCGTCGTTCCCTGGTGATTTATTTAGGGGAAGAGTATTTATGGCTTTCTTAATTTCTGCTGGTGTTATTGGTACCGATAGCGATTCAAGTTGAGAAGGGGTAATGCGAGGAAGATTTATGTTCTGTAAGAAATTTACAATGGAGAGAGTAGTTGGTTGGGTTGTTCTTGAGTCGTCTTTTATATTGTATAGGCTCTGATAATATGTTGCAAAAGCGTTAGCTATGTCCTGTGGATTTGTTAATATGGTGTGTGTATTGGGGTGCTGGATTGTGGAAATTTTAGCTTTGATTCATTTTTGTTTGACAGTTTTGGCAAGGAGGGCGTTTGCCTTGTTTCCTAATGTGTAAAATTTGGTTTTAGTTTTTAGCAGATTAGCCTCATAGTTGTGAAGTAAAATAGTGCGTAGTTTGTTTCTGTCTAAGGTTAGGGCTGCAGATGTAGAAGGGTTCGGGGTCTTTTTGTTAATGTCTTCATGTAAGCAGATGGAGGTCAGTAATTGGTCAATGTGTTGGGATCTCTGTTTATTTATGCGAGATTTCAGTTGTATGAGGATACCTCTCATGTAGGCTTTGTATGTTAACCAAAGTGTAGTGACAGAGACATCTGGGGTAGAGTTTGTATCGAAAAATAGGTTGTGGGCCTCTAGAATGTGCTTCTGGTTTTCAGGATTTTTTAAAAGTGAAGAATCCAGTCTCCAAATGGGTGGAATTGCTTGGCGTATATCGTCGTCTAAGGATATACTGATTGGAGCGTGATCCGACCAAGTTATGGTTCCGATTTTGGATGATCTCACATGCTGTAATGACCATTTGTCCGTGATGAAATTGTCTATTCTCGAGTACGAGAGGTGTGAAGGGGAGTAGTAGGTGTAGTCCCTCTCAGTTCCATGTTGACATCTCCAGATGTCATATAAGTCGTGGTCATGTAGGAAATGGTTAAAGTCAAGTTTGGAGGGTTTTTTAATGGAAGAGGAATCTAAGAGCGGATTACCCATGACATTGAGATCGCCTCCAATAATAAGTCTGCCTTGCTTATGGTTTTGTAGAGCTTGCGGAAAAAAGACAGTTGTTTACTGTTTGGGGCGTAAACGTTCACTAAAGTGTAAATTATATCGTTCATTTGACACACTAAGATGTGGTATCGACCATGTGAGTCGGATATGTTTGAGATGGTTCGGAGTGAGATGGTGTCTTTAATGGCGGTAAGGACTCCATTTTTCTTTTTAGTGTCAGTTGCCATAAATGATTGAGAGAAGTGTTGAAGCTGTAGCTTAGGGACTTTCCCTGTGGCGAGTGGGTCTCCTGTATGAAGAAAATGTCAGCCTGGGATTTCCTGACTTCTTAGGATAGCATCGATCTTTTGTAGGGGGAGTTGAGGCCTCGTACATTGAGGGATGTGATTTTAATCATTTAATGACCTGTTTCTGAGATGTGTACTTGAGTGGTTTGTTATTTGAGAGATGCGTAGTTCGGTGGATGATTGTTTGCGAGAGATGGGGTTTATATCACTGCGGTGTGGATTAGATGCGAATGGTGAGCTGGATTTAATCTTCCATGTAGAGTCATGTTGAGTAGATCCTGGGTTGGGGGTGTCCAGTTGATGGTGCCACATTTGGGGAGGGAAGGGGGAACATAGAACAATAAAAAAAAACTTGCGAAAAATGCAAGCATTCCAGGTAACTTTCATAGTTACTGTAAAACTGGGGGTTTTGAACGAGCTTTGACCGTTTGAAGGGTCAAGCCAGGTGTAAGCGTGTATAGCGAGTTTCATCTATTTTTGGCCGAACGCCAGTAGATCGGTGTTGAACAAGAGCCTCTGGGGAGAGGTTTAAATATGGTTTTGCCTCAACGCATCTGCGTTATTAGTTATGTCGCCTCCATATGTTGGACAGGAGGAAGAGTATTTCCCTGCGTATCTTCTGGTATGATGTTCCAGGCTTTTAGTAAATCTAGGCCTGCTTCAAGGGATCTGATCGTGAAAATTCTGACTTGGTGTCGTACTGTCAGTTTCGTTGGAAACCCCCATTGGTATGGTATGCTGTGGTTTCTTAGGGCCTTGGTAATGGAGATCATTTTTTTTCTATTGAGAAGCATGGCCTTCGATAGATCTGCATACAATCTGAGGTTAGCATGTGTTGGCGGGAGTGGCGGTGGGTTTCTGGCCGCTGTCGTGATGCGCTCCTTGATATGATAAAAATGTATTCGTGCTAATACATCTCTTGGGATCGCTGCTGACAAGAATGGGGGTTTGGGCAATCTATGGGCCCGGTCGATCGCTATCTCCAAGTCAGGAATCGATGGAATAAGGATTTTAATGTATTGTTGTAGATAAGGGATCAGTGCCTCATTGGTGACTGATTCGGGGATCCCTCTAAACTTGATGTTGTTACGGCGCGATCTGTCCTCCAAATCGGCCAATTTTAGGTTGATTTGCTCAATGTCCGAAGTGTGGTCTGAATGGGCATCTATCAGATCATTATGTGCTTTTATTATATCTCCTATGCTGGTTTCAATGTGATTTATTCTGCGTTCTTGCTGATTTATAACGCAGGTAATTTGATTGAGCGATGCAGAGATGTCAGAATGCAGGGTCTGACGTAGTGACAATAGCATGTTTTTCATGCATATTTCTGTCAGTGATTGGTCTGAGGCAGGGAATGCAGCTATGTCAGGAAAGGGTGCTTGTGGTTGCTGAGGTGGCTGAGGTAAGGAATTTATGGCCTGATATGCAGGGTCCAGGTCTTGATCTAGCCGTGGCCGAGATTTGGCAGGGCTACTTGTTGTGGGGGACAGTGGAGGTGACAACTCACCAGGGTCCCCTGGGTAAAGTGGCTGTTTTAGCCTAGGATCGGTCTGCTGCTCCCTGTAGTCCTCCTCCTTCTGTCTGTGTCTGTCTCCCTGTGCGCCGCCGCGGGCGCCATCTTGGATTCCCGACCCGACGGCCGGGAAGAAAAATTAGTCAGTTTCCCCGGGTGCCCCGGGGTTTTCCTTCTGCGGGGCATGTTCCCGGAGGTGCGGGTGCCTGTCATCAGCGTGCTTGGGCTGCCTGCGATCCCCAGAGCCGGTGAGTGCCGCTAAATACTGGCGGGTGGACGGAGCCGCAATTAAAGCACGTCCATCTTAGTGCCGGCCGCGCATGCGCCCCCTGCACCTTTGTTTATGAAAGAGCCCAGGAGATTAACCACTTGTCCCCCAGAGGATTTATCCCCCTTCCTGACCAGGCCATTTTTTGCGATATGGCACTGCGTTAGTTTAACTGACAAATGCATGGTCATGCAACGCTGTACATAAATGAAATTTGTGTCCTTTTTTCCCACAAATAAAGCTTTCTTTTGGTGGTATTTGATCACCTCTGCGATTTTTTATTTTTTTGCGCTATAAACAAAAAATGACCGACAATTTTGAAAAAAAAATAACAATATTTTTGACTTTTTGCTATAAAACATATCCAATAAATAAATGTAAAAAATCAAATTTCTTTATAAATTTAGGCCAAATTGTATTCTGCTACATGTCTTTGCTAAAACAAATTCCCAATACGTGAAAATTAATTGGTTTACATGAAAGTTATAGCATCTACAAATGGCGGTATGTACTGGAATTTTTTTTTTTGTAATGGCGGCGATCAGACTTATAGCGTGACTGCGCCAGGCATTCTGACACTGGGTGGGAACTGATTAACTGCCACTGACATCCCTAGTGAAACTTATACAGTGATCAGTGCTAATAAAAAGCAGTGACACTGTAATAATGACACTGGGCAGGAAGGGGTTAACATCTGGGGTGATCAATGGGTTAACTGTGTGTTGTGTGTGTTTTACTAGGGAAACATGCTGCTTTGTATCTTTCTGCTGTGCAGAGAGAAACAAAACAGCATGTCCATACAGACAGGAGAGAGACCTGTGTTGTTTACACACAGATCTCTCCCCTCTCAGCTTTCCCTGATGATCGCCGAGTTCTGGCTGGAAATCACCAGTCAGAACCCAGTAATTGACATCTCTAGCTGCCAATAGCGGCGCAGGTAGGGCAACATGCACATGTCCCCCTACCTAGGAATGCAAATCATGTATATGCACGTGATTTTGTGCATCCCTGCCATCCTGTAGCATTACTTTTGCTATAGGGCAGAGGGCAAGTTGTTAAAATGCTTTACAACTGCTATTCTATTGTCATCAAGCTCAAAATCATCATTTTCTATGTTCATGATCTTCGTCTTGTTTTTATTCAGTTCTGATCCCGTGTTTCAACTTTCTGTTTTGACTTTTCTCAGTAAATACAGCATATTTTTTTTTTGCTGCTGGTATAAGCATTGTGTCATCTTCATAGCTGGGTTGTTTATGTTTTGGCCGCCAACTTTGATACCTACAGACACATATAGGTTGAACAGGTAAGGTGACGAGATACATCCCTGCCTGACGCCTCATGTTATTGGAAACCAGTCAGTGTTGCTGTATTCAGTTCTCACTGCAGCTTCATTATTTTTGTAGAGACTCTTGATCAAATGAGTTATGTGTTTAGGTATTTTCCTTTGCAATAGAGTCCTCCACAAGTTATCATGATCCACACAATCAAACGCTTTGCTGTACTCAATGAGGCAAACGTATGCAGTCTTTTGGTATTCTTTGCACTTCTCTAATATCCATATAATCTAGGCAAAAATGTTTCTTGGCCTTCTATGAACCCAGCTTGAGCTTCAGGTAGTTCTCACTTAATGTATAATTGTATTCTATGTTGTATTATTTTTAGCAATACTTTGCTAGCATGTGGAATTAATGCAATCATTCTGAAGTTGTTAGAATCTTTGATCTTCTCCAGTCGGCTGGCCATGTTCTTTCCTTCTAAAATCTGTTGACACAGTTTAGTTAGGGCCATGATAGCACTTTTGGAGCCTCTGATTAACTCATTTGGGATCTAGTGACTTATTGTTTGCTAAATCCTTAATTGCTGCCATGGCTTCTTTCTTTGGTTGGATGCCCTGCCACAAGGTTCCTGTGATGAATTGGGAAATGGGCTGGGTGCCCAGCCAAACTGGCTGTCCTTCAACTGGGGTAAGGTGTCTGGCTGGGTGCTTCACTACTGAGGTCTGTTAACAAACTGAGTACCCCACTGCTGGGGTCTGGAGATGGACTGGGTGCCCAACCGATTGAACATTCCAAGTCCTTCAAAGCAGCTGATACCCCAATGTTGAGATACTGTGATTTAAGAATTCTGCATTGGCATCCCCTCACAACACAGACACCCTGATCCTCCAACATACAGTGGCCCATCACTTCCATGTTCCTCCCTTGTTTTCTGACATTGACAGCCACATAGATCTCTCCAGGGCACTGGTTACCTGACACGAGTCCCATAACACTCCAATAGAGCTCCTTTGTTGCTCAGATCACTACTACTAGGTCTGTTCTTGTGCATATAACTACTAGTTCTGATGTGAGTGTCTGTATGACCAGGCTTTGGTGCAACAGAAACAGAAGGCTGAAAAAAAAGTAAAGAAAATGGATGGAGGAAGGAATGAAGGAAAAGGAGAGAAGGGAGGAAGCTAGGAAGGGAGGGAAGGAAGGAAGGAATAGATGGAGGGAGGAAGAAAGGGGTGGGAAAGGAAGGAAGGAAAAGGAGGAAGGGAATGGATGGAGGAAGGAAGGAAGGAAAGAAGAAGGGGAGGGAAGGAAGGAGGGGTGGGAGGAAGGAAGGGAAGGAAGAAAAGGGAGGGAGTGAATTGATAGAGGAAGGAAGGAATGAAGGAAAGAAAGAAAGAAAATGGATGGGGAGGGAGGAAGAAAGGAAATGAAAGGAGGGGAGGGAGGCAGGAAGGAAGGAAGGATATGAAAGGAGGGGAGGGAGGAAAGAATGAAGGGAGGGGATGGAGAAAGGAAGGAAGGAATGAAGGGAGAAAGGAAGGAATGATTGAAGGACAAGGAGGAATGGAAGGAAAAAATGAAGGGAGGAGATAGAGGAAGGAATGAAGGTAAGGAAGAAAAGGGAGGGAGGGAATGGAGGAAGGAAGGAAGAAAGTGGATGGAGGATGGAATGAAGGAAGGGGAGGGAAGAAAGGAGGGGAGGAAGGAAGGAAGGAAAAGGAGGGATGAAATAGATGAAGGAGGGAAGGAGAGCGAAAGGAAGGGAGAGAGGGAGGGAAAGAATGAAAGAATGAAGGGAGGGGATGGAGGAAGGAAGTAAAGGGAGGGAGGGAATGGATGGAGGAAGGAAGGAAATGGATGGAGGAAGGAATGAAGGAAGAGGAGGGAAGGAAGGGAGGAAGGAAGAAAAGTGAGGGAGGGAATCGATGAAGGAAGGAAGGAAAGAAGGGAGGGAAAGAAAGAAGAAAGCGGAGGGAAGGAATGGAAGGAGGAAGGAAGGAATGAAGAAAGGAGGAAGGAAGGAAAGGAAGGGGAGAGAGAGGAGAGGGGGAGAATCACAGAGCTGCCGACTGATCTGGACAGGAGAGGCAGAGCAGATCCTCTCTCCTCTGCTCTGCCGTGGAGGATGGGGGAAGGGGCTGGACACTGTCAGAGAAGACGAGGCATTGGAGACCTGCGAGGGGGGGCTGAGGATCACAGATGGGGTGCTCACACAGGCCCCCCACTGACCCCGGGCCCTCGGGCAATGCCCGAATGGTCAGTCCACCCCTGGTTAGTACAGTGGAGGAAGACTAGGGTGCTGAGAGTTCAAAATGTGGAATGGCAGCAGCCAGAGGTAGAATGGATGAGAGCTGCTAGCACAGAGGTAGGCTGGACTGGAATTGTTGGCACAGAAGCACACTGGTCTGGAACTGCAGGAATTGAGGTAAGCTGATCTAGGACTGCTGGCAGTTATACTAGTAAAAGCAGGGCCGGTGCTAGACTTTTTTGCACCCTAGGCAAGATCAGCTACTTGTGCCCCCTCCCAAAAAAAATAAAAAACTTTTTTTAAAAACAGTACAAAAATATTAAATCAACAAAATATGAAACTGCTAAATGTAATCTGTAAAAATAAGTGCCATAAGATGTCACCTGTGACAATATTAATAAAGTCAGTGTTACAGATGGACTGTATCTGTAGCTGGCAGTGGCAGGGTTACAGTTGCAGTGAGTGGAGGATGATGGATCCATGCTCTGACAGATCCCAGGCTGGAAATCCCCAGGCAGTGGTGGGAGATAAACCGCTGTGAAAGCAGGCAGCTGAACTGAGCGATCCCACACAGTGAGAGATCCGACACAATACACCAACACTAACACTGACAAAGATCATCAGGCCCAGCAGGCCCTAGAAGAGCAGGCTGTGAGATCGTGATGATGTCATCACTCACTGACAAATTGCACATTTGATGTATGTCCGGCCAGCCGGGTCACACCTAGAAACAAGACATCAGAGTCAGACATTACCTTTCTCTTCAGGCCCAGCTCTGCCTCCGCTGATGAATGGGAAGAGAAGGGCTTGAACTCCACAGTGATCAGCAGCCGCCAGCCAGCTTGCATTAAGGGACTGAGCCTGAGAGGAACACCGGAAGGAGTGGCAGCTCGGCTGCTACATTGGCCCCAGACACCCGTCATCCTCCTCTGTCCTTTCTTCCTCTCCTCTGCCGCCCCTCCTCTCAGCTGAAGGATCATTCATGATGTGGACACTATTTATGATATATGGTTTATTGAAAAAGAGGGAAGGTGTATATTTATTTGATAATATTGGAATGTGTACCCCTCCAAAGAAGGGAGGTGTCTTATAGTACACAGAGTATTACCTATATTTTTTCACATATTAGTTTTTTTATATATTGTATACTAGAGACTATAACAGCACTAGTGCATTGGTTTTTTTAGGTGGAGGGGTTTGTAGCACCACACTATATATATTCGACCAATTCACATTTATGTGCTATTGGATATAAAGAGGTGTTGGGCGGCTACTTTATAGTTTGGGTATTAGTCTATAAGCACGAACATTGCATTTGTATAGTTTAGTTACTTGTATTTATTATTTGGATAAATTTACATACACTGTGGATAAAACAGTGATTTATATTTGGATGCACATATATTTCTTTGGCACTGCAAATGCCTTTTTTAGGATTTGCATATCAATCCCTATTTTGCCAGCATCCTGCTAGTTACACCATAGTACTACATTTTCCCTCGATTTTATAGATTTTTATAGAAACTGTTTTATTTTTTCCTACTTTTTTAACTTTGCCTTTTTAAGAGATTACATCCTCAAAATTCTCTGAAGGTATGAGAACGGGAAAACAATATAATTCCAATGTTCCTTTTAATATTTAATGTGACTATACCTTTCCATTAACAGCAGAATCCATTCACACTATTGTCTTTTAGCAGACCTTTTAACCTTCTGCTTTACCTTTGTATGTAGCAGTTTAATGATGTCTGACAGCTGGGTGACTGCTCCTTTTTCATTCTCCTTGGAAATTCACTCAAACAGCATAGTGATGAATTAAACAACAACCACAGCCTGTGCAGTCCACTGGTGATACAGTATTTCATCCAGAGTTCTGTTATAGAATGTCTATTGACACAAAGCAGACATGGAGAAAGCATTCATTTTAACTGCAGGTTAATTGTCTATTATGTGTAGCCAGGTACTGGCTGAATCATTATGCCATTCATGGACATTTACAGATGAAACTATGGTTAATCCTTTTCCCCCCCTAGTGCCCAGTGCTGGGGCTGTTACATTGCTTCCTGCTAACAGAGTGGATTCAGTTTTTCTGACTGCAGAGGATCTTGGGACCTGTAGTCCTATAGCCAATTCATCCTGTATTCCTGAGTGCTGTTTGAACTAAAACTAACAGAGAGCTGGGAATTGAGAAGGATGCAGGTAAAGCAGATATAGCGAGGGATTCAGAGCTGAACTCAGGGGGACTGCCATTCTCCTCCAGAGACAGATTACTGGCCTACTACCGCGGGACTCTGAACATCAGTTCAGCACAACATTGCTGGAGAAAGTGCAGAGAAGGGCAACCAAACTGATAACAGGCATGGAGGAGCTCAGCTATGAGGAAAGATTAAAGGAATTTAGGTGTCCTTTTATGAAACAGAG